GGAAATCATGAAAGTCGACAGATCACGCAGGTTTGTCTGTACTATTACGGCATTATATCGCTTCATAGCTCCTATAACTTCTACTTCATGGAACTTAGTTGTCTATCTGAAGATATCTTCCGGCGCCGCAGGGCTTGGTAGGTTGGGAGGGGGTGCATTTTGCACTTTTGCTACTTGAAACCAAGAGGGGGCACCGAAGTTTTAGTGCAAAAATCTCCAGAGATTCAAAGGAAATCTAAAGTTTTTGCATGATTGGGTTCCTTTTCAGACCTCTGGGGTCTTTTGCAGTGAAACTTAGTATTAATTGTATCATTGGAAAGTTTTTACTACTAGTCGTTAAAGCTTTCCTGTTCAGATCTTCTCGTCGAGGGGCTGCGCTTAATCCTCAACAGATGCATTTTTTCAACCTCCTTCTGGGAGACTTTTTCAGAATAGTCCGCTCCCACTCCTCCATGCGTTTCACCCTTTAAATCCTCATTCGATATACGCTGCGCACAAACGTTGCGGTTGTATTCTTCTTTTATGTGTTTCTAGGTGTACGGGTTTTATGATGAATGTTTACGGAAGTATGGTAGTGCAGCAGTATGGAAAGCTTGTACAGAAGTATTCGACTACCTCTCACTTTCAGCTGTTATAGATGGAAAGGTATGATACCCTCTGAATTCTACCTGATATTCTTCATAAAGTGTTTTCGTTTGCTTTCTCCTCTCATTTCTAATCTTTTCATAGGCCTTTTGTGTACATGGAGGTCTGTCACCGTCTATTCAAACCTTGGACCAAATACGAGTAATTGACCGAAAACAAGAGGTAACTGGTTTCGTAGATTGTTTTTATGCAATTGATCGTAACGGCGAAACGCAATCGCCTGTTCATTTGGTTCCATGCTGAAGAAAACTGGTGATACTTGTTTTATGCATAATCGAAAGGGTTACAATATGAAATAGGGCTTCACGGATAGCAGAATATTTGATACAAAAGAAAAAAAGGCTATTTTTCGGTAACCAAAACTACAAAGCTTTGGGCAATCATTAGAATAGGCACTTAATGAATTGACTTTTCAGGTTTTGATAGTATTGAGTAGATAAGCCCATTTTATCAAGTTACTGTGGAGAGGGGAGCTACCCATTTGATCGGCAAAGATTTGACAAAAAAAAGTTAAACTGAGACATGATTATATTCAGTTAACGTTTCGGTTCGCTCTGTTGCACCAACTAAGCTAAATGGGACCTACCCCTTCCAAACGCCCAGACTAACAGCGGCTTCTGACACCCTTTTCTGTTCATTTTGGAAGCTTTCGACAAGTTTTGAAATGCCTCCTCTGCTCTATTTGCGAACCCGTGCTCCTGCCCCAGATAACGATAGGCTGCTTTGAATTCATTATCACTACGACTTCGAGTACGAAAGGTTCTCAATGGCGTTCGGTATAGTTGTAATAACCGAAGAGTACCTTACAAATACGCACAGCGGACAACTTGTTTTCTGTCTAGCTATTCTCACACGTCGTACAGCATACTAATCTAGCCAGTAATCTCTCTCTGTCTCTCAGTGATCACCATTAATTCGCATTATGTGTGCAGCCGCCTGGTCTTCGAAATCTCTGCAGATGGGACGTGCCTGATTTTCGATCGCCGACGGGGTGCGAAACTCCGGAATTCTTTCTACCAAATGAGTGCATCGTGGAATTTCGAGTACTGCTTCTCCTATAGCTAACCACGTGCTTTTCCTTTTTTGTGTAGTGTCCAAGGCTCTGTTGCGTAGAAATCGAATTAATCACTCAGACGGTATTTTTGTTTCTGCGATATGCTCGAAAGCTTCCCAGGCCAATCGTTTACTTCTAATCACTTCTCGTGTAAATATTTTATCATACTGACTTCTCGACTCAAATATACATCGCTGAGGGCAATGAGAGATGTTTATTCAGTTGAACAGGCACTGAGCATCAAGAACTGATCTTTCTTATGATTATCCTCCTCCTTGAGCGAACCGGTAAAGGATGGTTACACAAAGCCATTTGAAATGATATGTATACCGAAACGTCTGTGGACGCTGATTTCAAACTTGCTAGCTGTTCTATGAACAAAGTTTGTGGAGTTTTGTTGGGCTGACCCTTGCTCAATCACGCCAAGGGTAAGTAAGTAAGTATGCAAATAATGCGTGGGCGGAACCTGGATCCGCTTATAGCTCGGAATTAGCGATCGATCGACCTCATTTTTATGACGTCAAGACTCGAATCCTTGTCTAACTCCTTCTTTTGTATTTTTTTTCACAAATATTCTCCACGTTCTTGAAGTACTTTACCCTAGCTAGGGGATTTAATCTTACCGAAAAATGTTGCTATGAAGGATAACTGATCATTGGTTCCGTCGGCATGATTCGTTGCTTTAAGTTGGAAACTGACGCCACATGGCACGACTGCAGAAAAAAAATGTTTTATTTGAGATCAGGATCGTCAGGCACCAACAAATGTTGCATTATAACTTTCAGGTACCACACGATGGTCCAATGTGTGACTTGTTGTGGTCAGATCCAGAAGATTCATCAGTAGGATGGGGAATGAGCCCTCGAGGGGCAGGCTATCTCTTTGGAGCGGATGTTGTCAAGGTATCCTTATACTCACATATACTACACTCACTTATCATCAAGAATTGAGTTAATTCTAAACCTAAAGATCTACCTTGTGACATAGATGAAAGTACGGGATTGTTTCACTTCTCAACTCCTGTTTTGAAGCCACCCGGAATATCAGAGTGAGTTGCAACGTCTACAATTTAGACATTCTGTGATACGAATGGTGTTGATCTCATATGCCGAGCACATCAGTTAGTCATGGAAGGCTATAAGTGGCATTTCAACGACAGTGTGTTGACGGTATGGTCAGCACCGAACTATTGTTATCGGTTAGTTTTTTTTAGCTGCAAACTGTGCAGTGCCCGACGAAACAATGTTCGTCCCTATTTATCCATTTCTACGCCTCTCTTCTCTTCGAAAGAGATTTGCCATCAGAGGTAGTTTGACTCCCTGAACGTCAATCGCGTCCCCATAGCACGACACTGCTTAGCGCCCGCGTCAAAATACCTTGAATATCAAGTTCGGAAAGCTTATCCCGAGGAGTAGTTCAACCCTATGAACGCGATTATAACACCTACATGGGTGCCAGGCGGAGGTGGTGTAGTGACAAGTGGCGCGCTTACCACTCGCGCGGCGCCGGGTTCAAATCCCGGGTCGACTCCCCCAGGCCAACCAAGCCTTCTACCCTCCGGGGACGGTAAATTGGTACCAGATTCGTCTGGGAGGATAAAACACTGACTTGTACATCGGCTGGCCACCGCAAGTCATTGTATAGGCCACATCGCATTCAATAAGCCACTACGATTCTGAATGGAAGTAGAATGCGTGCCGCATCCCACAAAGGGATTGATCAACGGCGAAGACTTTATCCTTTTTTATCCTTTACATGGGTGCCAAGAATGTTAAGGATGGGGTAAAGAGGGTACATGAGATAGCGCAGCCTGCATGTCGTCGTCCATCCTTCCCACGACATAGGACGAGGCTGATCCAGCAGGAAGGATCGACTCGCAAAGTCTCCTGCTTTGTCGTGCCGTGTTTCTATAACTGCCCTAGTACACCGCTCGGCACGAAATTGTTTGGAGTCTGAGTACACGAGCCGGAGTCGTAACGCATATGGTGAGGCTGCGGTTCAGGCGGTTTCGGACCAAGCTGATGCAGAAATAATGTTCTTCAGGTTGAACTACCCCGAAGACCAATTTCCAGACAAATGGAAGATCTCGCCTGAACTTCAAAAATAGGGCAGAAAGGGGTGAATGGTGCCTAATGTTTCTAAGGCGTATTAACCCTACTCTTTTTAGGATTAATACGCCTAGCAGAATGGAATTGCGCTTCTAAGCAGGCGCTGCGTAGCGCCTTTTCCAAGAAAGGTGCTCTTATAAGCTACCTATCAAGCTGCAACATACCGACCCGGACGCCTGCCCGCCCACGGATGGCGTACCTGATGCTCGTATTGCTTCATTTGCGAAGTAAAATATGAAGCGAAGGGATTGATATGAAGCGGCTGCGGTGCTGCATGGATATATGAGTACATACGTGCAGCCGTACCTACCGTAGCGGTTATTGGCAAGATGCCTACGGGAAACTCGTCCGAAATTGCTTTTTGAGTCATGAAGAACGAAGGCTTTTCTTCGCAGGTTTTGACCGTTTCACTTTTTTTCTCCATTTTCCCCACTACACAGTACCCTGTAGACGGGGTATCATATTATGGTGCCATGTGTCTTCAGATATTGTTAGTTAGCGCATTACGGACCGCTGTACTGCGCGCATCTCCCAGCCATGCCATTTTCATCAATGACTTATCTGTAATTTTCTTCCTTTTTCAATTGCTTATGAGACCGGATGTGTCGGTGATCAAAAACGTGTTTTGACACTATTATAACATGAAAGAAAAGTCAAAATAGTCAAATAAAATAGCGCATAGAAACAAAAGCATGACACACTATATGTGCACGTGACCGGAACCTGTTAAATTACCCGAAGCCTTGGTCGTACTTGGCAGTTCATGAAGGTCAAGGACAGCTAAGCCTTTAGTTAAGTTTGTTCCAAAACTTACTGCCAAGTTCTTTTGTACTCTTTTTCTAGCTTGTGAACCGTTGCAATTCTACCAAACTGCCCCTCTTTAGTAGTGGAATTTGTTTATCAACTTTGATTTAGATGTGGGAATGTAGCTGCCATACTTGAACTCGATGAACAATTAAATAAGGAGTTCACGATATTTGAAGCAGCACCTCAAGTGAGTGTTCCATCAAGTTTTCATTTCTGTTTTCCCTGTGTTCTCAAACATCACGAAATGTTCGCCAAAGCAGTGGTCACAGAAAAGGACGTGGTACCGAAATACCAACTGAGGAATGATAGGCGCACCAAAGGAGCAGGGTAAAGTGGCTCAATCACTTCCAAACATAGTGTTTCCAGGAAGAGAGCCGATTTTTCCGATTACATCGAGACTCAAGATGCCGTTCGCATCAAACAAAAGGCGCGACGAACTGAACCTTGACAGAAGCAAGTTGGCAGCGCATATCGCTAAGCTGTACTAGCGATGGTCACTTGAAGCTGAGAAGTTGATCTCCTGAAGTAGCAACGCTCGGTGCTCGGAATGCCTACAACACACGTCATCCTCTTCGTCAGACAGGAGAGT